GCATTGAAAGGTTTTCAATGCATTTCAATGGGCTTCTTATTTTCACTTTATGATGTTTTCGCTTAATGGCAATTTTCCTGGAACGGATTATCGCCATTAAGCGAGGCACCACTGTATAGTAGAACAAAAAAACCAAAGGAATTGGATATGTATAATTATATTTTTACACCAAAACCATTTAACACTTAAAATGTGCAGACTCCACTCAGTTCCACTAGATGGCAACCGTCTCAGGCCCAATTTGTTATTTAGGACCTAGGAAAAAATTTTATTTTCATATTTTTGAAATTCCATTTTTCAGTCTTGCTTCTTACCCTCACCTTTTTGAACTTTAGAAATATTTCTTTCTTGTATTTTGACATAACCATGAGGTAACTAGCATCTTCTATTCAATTCCCTCTTTATTGATGTCATTGTTATTTCTACTGAGTTCACACAGGCAAACTCTAATCTCAGGTGTTGCTGGCTTGCAAACACCAAACTCTGAGAGAATAACCAGCTAAAAAGGGCATGATGAGTGAGGCAGAGATGGGAGGACATAAGATCAAATGGAGCTCGATGAGGGAAAAAGTCTGCTTAAATGAAACTGAATGTAACTTGTATTTTCTCTTAATAGCAATTTCAGAAGTACAAAATACTCAATTGCTATCATGGGCAAAAGGCAGAAGGTCAACACTCCCATGCACTTCCTCTTTTTCTCTCTCACCCACAACTTCAGGAGAAGAAAATGTATCAGAAGCATCTTTCTCTGTGGCTAGAATGAGATAAAGTTAAAGACAGCATGGAATAACACAGAGCTTGGGACTGGAAAGTAAAGTATTCTGCCGTGCGTGGTCCTGTCCACATGACAGGGTAGAGTGTTAATATATTACTGTAATAGGACAATGAGACTGAATATTTGCTGTACCTCAAGTTTTGCAAGAAAGGCCCTGCTTCTCCAAGAGGACTATTATGTTCACTTTGTATTGAGGGCACATGGCAAGGACAGAGGTGGCACAAAGTGTTGTGTGATTTGTGCAGCTCATCTCTTTCAGTTTGAGAGGGCCAAGTGAGGATACCTTGCCCAACCCCTTGCTCAAGTCCTGGAACCAAAGCACCCTGCATTTTTTATTTTTATTTTTTTAAAAAGAGCTCTTCAAAGAGTATCAGTTGCACCGCCTGATTAATTCTTTTGTTTGAAATATTAACCAACTTGTCCTGAGAGTTTCTTTTGTGCTTTGATTTTAGCCATCTTTAAGAAGGACTTATTGAGCACCTTGCATCTTCTAGTAGCCATTGCTGAGCACTTCCAGCCAGACCTTGCCATACCTCCAAACGTTAAAGTGGATATCATGAATGTAGAGGTAGTTTACACTGCTTATTTCATTCATATTCTCTCCATAAAATTTCTTCAGATGCTAACTATCATTCCACTATACATGATTAGATATGAAAAACCATTGCATGCTGACTATCAAATCCATGGATCTTCATTTACCTTTGGTTCTCCTGTTTGTCTCACCAGGAAGGAAGCATGAAGACTTGGGGAGCCAGCAATGTTGAATGTTGGCTGGGTCCTGGGCAGCAAAGCTCCCTAGGAGCTTCTGGCAGCTCTATGGAGAGGGGTTATTTTGCCTATCGTGGGTTAGAAGGAGGGGTCTCAGCCAGCATGGAGTGTTTATTTCATTCATATCCTCCTATCGTCAGTTAGAAGGAGGGGTCTCAGCCAGCATGGAAGCCCTTCCTTTTTCTTCACATGGTCAACTTAAGGATTACCTATATTCTTGTATGCTCACATCCCATAGATGGGAATGCTCTAGTTTCACCCCCCCCCCTTTTGTTATCACCTCCTATACAGTCAACCCTCAACTTACAAATGGCCCTAGTTACAAACATTTCGTCTTACAAACCGCTCTGATAGAAAAATATTGACTTCACTTGCAAACTTGTATTCGAGTTACAAACCGAAAAAAGGTGCAGGAGGTGGGGAAAGCGTGAAATTTGAACTTTCAGTTAACTGTTGGCCAGTGAAGAGGGTGACTGTCTGCTTCCTCACTCTTCCCAGTGTTTTGAGAGTGGATTTGAAGACAGTCTTCAGACTGCCTGGTATTGCCTCGTATTGCCTGGTACAGTGCTGTACGGACTGTATTTTTATTTTTTGGCTTTTTTAAAAATTTTGATTTTTGGATTTTTAAAAGGTGTCCCCCCCTTTGCTGCCCCCTTTCCCCCAAAAGGTTCTTGTATTGGGTTGTCTTGATTGAAAAGGTGCTTTTCGAGGTGATCTGTTGTCTGAAAGATGCTTGGTTTTTCCCAGAAGGTGCTTGTCTTGGCTGAAAAGGTGCTTTTCAAGGTGTACTGTTGAAAAGGTGTCTGTTCCCTCCTTCCCTCCCTCTTTTCTTTCCCTTTTTTTAAAAACCTAAGTCATCTTAGGTTAAAAGGGGGAAAAATGAAAAAATTCTGCACCTAGTGATAGGAACGGATTAACCGGCTTTGCATTAGTTCCTGTGGGAACTAATGATTTGAGTTACAAACCGCCCCTCGACCTAAGAACCAAAAACAGCCAGAACTGATTAATTGGTTTTCAGTGCATTCCTATGGGAAATGCTGATTCGACTTACGAAATTTTGACTTACAAACTTCCTTCTGGAATGGATTAAGTTTGTAAGTTGAGGGTTGACTGTACATGAAACCTGATAAGTCTGAAGAGGAGGAGGTCCACTCTCCCTGGGGGCTCTTAACATGAATCCATATAAGTCAGGAGTCCAAGACCCCTGAATGTATAATGCCTACATAGACCCTCAGTGATAGAGTTTCTCTCCTACCAAACAGATTATTAGTTTGTGAGGCAGGAAACAAATAGAGTTGGAAATATGAAATACTATCACATGTTGATGGACAAATACTCTGAGATGTTTACTGTCTAATATATGAAGCACTGGTTCTTAACCTTTGTTACTCAGATGTTTTTGGACTGCAACTCCCAGAAGCCTTCGCCATCAGCTCTGCTGGCTGGGGTTTCTGGGAGTTGCAGTTCAAAAACACCTGAGTAACAAAGGTTAAGAACCACTGATCTAAAGCATATACATCTGCATATCTCTTGTTTACATCCTTTTCCCAACCTGCCCTTTATTCCTTGCAAATGCTTCCCATCCTGCTTTGGCAAGTTTGCAAAAAAACAGAGAATATTTTATTAGATGTGAATGTGTAGATCTGACCGAAGGATTGTGTGTAGTGTACTACAGACGTGCCTTGCTTAGTGATCGCTCCGTTGAGCGACAAAATTGCTTAGCAATGAAGTTTTTGCGATCGCAAAAGCGATCGCTTTGCGATGGTCCCTATGGAGTTTTTTCACTTTGCAATGATCGCGGGGAAGCAACCATGGCAAAGCGACCCTTTTTTAACAGCTGATCGGCGGTTTCAAAATGGCCACCGGGAAAACAAAATGGCCACCCGCTGTGTTTCCTCATTTTAGAGGCACTGAAAATGGCCACCCGTATGGAGGATCTTCACTTAAAGGTTAGTTTTTAGCCCATAGGAACGCATTAATCGCGTTTTAATGCGTTTCTATGGGCTTTTTAATATCGCTTAGCGATGAAATCACTTATCAACGTTTTTTCTGGAACAGATTAACGTCGCTAAGTGAGGCACCACTGTATTTTGATATTCCACATTATACATTGTTTCCTTGTACAATTCATGATTCCTGTAGATTGTATTCCCATCTCTTTAATATCTCTTTCGGAGGTTTGGTTTTGTAGTTGGTAGTTAACATCTTCTCACTGCTTCCTAGTTTTCCACAATTCATCTAAAGCTTGTTTTCTTTTTCATAGTACACGGCACATGGATTAAAGACAGAAAATGCAGTAGAGTTCATAACCAAGAGCAGGTAAAATACACAATTTGTTTTAAAGCCTGAATTTTTGTAACACAAAGATGGAAAATACATTTTTATTTCATTATGAAAAGAAGAGTGCCAATTTAACATAAAATGTAACGGCTGAAAGCCTGTTCATTTAGCTGTGCTATATAAGACCGATTGCATCATTAGCCGCAGTGGTGAGGTTGTTGTTGTTGTTATTGTTGTTTGAAATAAAGCATTTCCAATCCCCCCACTTCCTGAGGGGCTCGAGGATCCAATGGAATCCATTTCAGCATGGGGAAGCTGTTGGTCATTGCAGGATGAGAGAGGCAAGTCTTTAATTTCGAGAAATTGCTGTTGGTAGGATGACTTTGTCAGAGGCAATGATTTTTGGAAATTAAAGCCCCCCCCCAACCATCCCACAAATCCCAATGGCTTTCCCACTATGAAATGGATTCCACGGGAGCCTTGGGATCTTGTGGGAAAGGAACTGGATAGGTTTTATTTCTGAAAATCACCGTGGCTTATGGGGTGTAGCTGCAGAAAAGGATTTCAGCCAATGTGTGTTTTGCATTTATTTAGAAGAACAGAAAACACAGCCAGCCATTTTGAGTATGCAGATGGCAAAGTGACTGATTTGCATTAATGTTGCTGGCTAGTTTTCAGGTTGTAGAATTTTTTCTTCTTCTTATGTAGCTTGAACAGTTTGCTAAACAGTCTGTTGTTAGGATTATGTGGCATGTGTGACTGTGAATGAATGCCTGTGTTCTCCCTGTATCAGCTTTGATTAGTTAAATCAGAACTAGTGCATCAGGGCCCATCTTTCTTTCTCTACACCTTTCATTTCTTATTGTCTGTGGTGGTGCAAATCTCAGGGTGTGTTCACCTTCGTGCAGTTGCCAGAAGAAGGCCTGTAGGCAGAAGTAAAATATTTCTGCCTACTGTGTCTCTGAGACTGATGCCACTATGTGGTCCCCAACCCTCACTCATAAGTCATAGACCTTTGCTCTTTCTCTATTCTCACAAATAGGGATTTTCACAGAGATCTGGAGACGGAATAGCATTGTGAACTCAGAGAGGAATTGGGTCACAGGGAAAATCCATATATATCTACACAAACTACACAGACTCAACATGCCAAGCTGGTTGTGAGAAGGAGCATTTCTATTTCAGGATTCATGCAAGTGTTATCTTAATATGCTTGTAAAATTGTTTTTTGATGGTACTGCTTCAGACTCCTAAGTGGAGCATTGCATCTCCAATGGAAAATAACCCCTGATACAAAAGCAATTCCATGCATGCAGAAGTCAGGGGAAAGGGATGCTAGCAAAGCCACTGCAGAGGATTTTTTCTGTGTGGGAAAATATTTATTCATGTGGTCTCCTACACAGTGTCTGAAGCAATACAATTACGACATTTTACCCCCTTGGATTTTCTGGCCAGTATCCTGTTTATTATGGGTAGAGCCTGAAGGTGCTGTCTGCAGAGTTTCTGTGACCTCTGGCTTGCTGTTCTGAAAGCTAGAGATCGCTCCCATTGTTTGCAACAAGGCTAACAGATACCTCCTTGTGCAATCTCCTGAAAAGACCAATGCACATGGCACAGTAGACAGGATCTTGGCCAATGTATGGAAGTGGTGCTCCACATTGTGAACCAATTGTGAGTAGCAGCACACCATGTGGATTGAGTGGTTTTCTCTTTGGGGAAGCAAATAGTCCCAGAAAAGGTAATATGGGAAATGGAAACTGATGTGAGAGTTGAGCATTTCTTTTTGATTGGTCCATGATGTGATGACAGCAGTCATCTGGTTTACTTCAGAACTATTCCCTGTATAGTGACTTGCTTTGAAATTGCCCCCCTGCAGTCATAATGGTGAGACATACAGTGGTGCCTCGCATAACGAGCACACCGTTTAACGATGAATCCGCATAGCAATGCGGATTTTGCGATCGCTAATGCGATCGCATACCGATGTTTCCAATGGACAAAAATCGCTTTGTGATGATTTTTTTAAACAGCTGATTGGCAGTTCCAAAATGGCCGCTGGACACCCAAAATGGCCGCACGAAGCATTTTTGCGCCCTGCCCTCGCTTACCGAGGGCGCAAAAATGGCGGCACAATGGAGAAACTTTGCTGAGCGGTGAGTTTGGGCCCGATTGGTACGCATTAAACAAAGTTTAATGTGTTCCAATGGGTTTTTACTTTCCGTATAGCGATGTTTCCCCATAGCGACAGTTAATCTGGAACGGATTAACCTCACTATGCGGTGGTGTAATATGAGTTTATTCAAGTTAATTCTGATACAAATTTCCCAATACTTTATGTGGACATAGTGCTATTTGAATTAAATTAGTAAATGCTCCCATCTATTCAATCTTCTGATCCACTGGCATAATGAAGGTGTAGCTTTTGCTCTCTTAAATATAATTGTGAGACCTAGAAAGAATGGCAAACATAACACACTTCTTCTCCCTCCTTCCTCCTCTGTTGTGTACAAATTCCCCCTTTCTTCCCTTTTTGAAGCTAACCATTGTTTTGTGTCATGTCTGTACCAAGGTTAGTGCTAGCCATGATTAGAAGTAAGAAGGTTTGCAGAGGCACTTCACATTATGGATACAAGCTGTGATTTGTAGTTAATCCTTTCCAGAATCAATATCAGTGCGGATCTGAAGTGATATCACAGTTAGCTCTCTAGAGAACAATTGGGGGGGGGGATTTGAATCACAGGATCAGACTATTCTGAGATGCCCGCTTTACAATTAGAAGTGGAGCTTCCTTAAGAAGTAAACTTGTTTGTTTATTCTAGGACAAGATTTCAGCAGCATCATATGCTGCAAATTAGCTTTTCTTTTAATGACTAGGTAGAAGCAAACCATCTTGATAGTAGAGATATGGCAGCTCTGAAGAAATGCATCTCTGGAGGGATAATGTTTTACCACTTTGTAATGGTAAGACTAGAGCCCTGTATGGCTTAGCTCTAAGATGGAAGGTGTGGTGATTGCATGGACCTTTCGTTCAGTCCCATTTAAGGAAACATTACTGTTTATTAGTCTGCTTGCCTGTCCGTGTTTTGGAAACTATAAATATTACTGCCATGTATCAAGTGTTTTATATGGACTAGTCATATAAACTTGCTTTTAGTGATATATTGCTGAAGCTAGGAATTTTCTGTGTAGCTTTAGTCTTGAAGGCAGGGTAAGAGCTTAGTTTTTATTATAAGTGGTGGCTAATTTAGAAGATCACAATTTAAAAGTTGCTCAAAACATCATTAATGTCTTTTGCTTTTAACCACTTTGACCTTAGCAATATACTTTATACACTGTTATGGTAGCCAATTAATTTCTAATATCACAAATATCTATTTGCCTCTGAGTCAGAGGCTCAGGTCATAGCTACATTTCAGATTTTATACCCTCTCACAAACACCAGAAACATTTGTTGATCTCTTGCAGCAAAAATAACAAAGGGCACAATCCTGTACACTTTATCTTGCAATAAGTGAGATCTGTACATCTCTTTTGCACTGGACCACCTGACTAAGTGTAGCACACTGGGAAAAAAAGTATTTATTTATTAATTATTTATTTATTTACAAGATTTTTCAGCCGCCACATTACCACTAGTCTCTGAGTGATGTACAACAATATTAAAACTTTAAAAACATTAAAGGTAGGCAATATTATAACAATACCCTATTTTAAAAACAGTAATTAAAACATTAATATTAATAAATCCTGCTGGTCATATGGCCAGCTAAAGAATACTATTTAATTAAAATGCTGGCTAAACAGAAAGGTCTTTGCCTGGCACTGAAAAGCCAAGAGTGTTGGAGCCAGGCGGATCTCTATAGGGAAGGTGTTCCAAAGTTGGGGGGCAACAGCCGAGAAGGCCCTATTTCGGCATGCCACCCCCCTCACCTCTTTCAGGGATGGCACCTTCAGAAGGGCCTCCTGGCCTGATCTTAGAGGACGGCCAGGCTCGTATGGAAGAAGGCGGTCCTTTAGGTAACCAGGTCCTAAGCCGCTTAGGGCTTTATATGTCAAAGTAAGCACTTTGAATTGGGCCCGAACAACTACCAGCAGCCAGTGTAAATTTTTCAGAACTGGTGTAATATGAGTCTGTGTGGCAGCACCACTTACCAGTTGCGTAGCCCAGTTCTGTGCCAGTTGCAGTCGCTGTGGCCCAGTTCTGTGCCAGTTGCAGTCGCTGAATTGTCTTCAAAGGCTACCCCACGTATAGCATATTGCACTAGTCCAGTCTGGTTGTTACCAGTGCATGTGTGACTGTTGCCAGGCTCCACTCATCCAGGTACAGGCAAAGTTGATATATTCTCTGCAGCTGTAAGAAGGCACCCCTGGGCACCGAGTCCAACTGGGCTTCCAAGGTCAGACCCAGGTCAAGGAGCACCTCCAAGCTGCTGACCCTGTCCTTTAGGGGGAGTGTAACCCCATCTAAGGCAGGGAAATGGCCCTTTAACCTATCTGGTGGAGCACCTACTAGCAGCACTTCCGATTTGTCTGGATTGAGCCTCAGTTTATTGGCTCTCATCCAGTCCATTATTGAGTCCAGGCACAAGTTCAGAATGGCGACTGCCACACCTGGATTGGTAGAGAATGAGAGGTAGAGCTGGGTGTCATTAGCATATTGCTGACTCCGCAGCCCAAACCTCCTAATGACCTCCCGCAGTGGGTTTCATGTAGATATTGAATAGCATGGGGGACAGTATAGAGCCCTGAGGAACCTCATGATGTAACTGCCATGGATCAGAGCTACTGTCCCCCAGCATCACCTTCTGGACTAGATCAACCAGGTAGGGGTCGAACCATCATAAAACAGTGCCTCCCATTCCCATCCCAGCCAATCTGTTCAGAAGGACACCATGGTCGATGGTGTCGAAAGCCATTGAGAGGTCCAGGAGGATCAACAGGGATGCATTCTCCCGTCTTTCTTCCTGCAAAGGTCATCAAACAGGGTAACCAAGGCAGTCTCCATCCCAGAACCTGGCCTGAAACCTGATTGAAATGGATCTAGATAATATGTTTCATCCAGGAGAGTCTGGAGCTGTTCAGCCACCACACATTCCGACACCTTGCCCAGAAAAGGGAGGTTCACCACTGGTTGGAGGTTGATCACTAGGCCTAGTCCAGATTAACCTTTTTAAGGAGTGGGCGAATCACTGCCTCCTTTAACAGGGTGGGGACCACTCCCTCTCTTAACAAGGAATTGATAACCTTGAGGATCCAAGTGTGAACCCCCCCCCGGTAGATTCTTTTATGAGCCATGATGGGAAAGAGTTGAGTTGCATAGTGGTGGCACAAACCCATCCAAGCAGTACCCCGTCCACATCCTTGGGTCATAACAACTGAAAGAGCACCCTGTCCACATCCTCAGGACATAACAACTGAAACTCATCCAATAAATTATGACATAAGTCCAGAGCACTAGACACAACTCTATGTGTATCTGAGCAATTTTTTCCTCCAAGTAGTGTAACAAATTCGTTACAGTGAGTCACTGAGCAGTCCGGGACCTCCACCAAACCATTAGGTTGAAGAAGTTCCGGACCACTCAAAATAGCTCTGGATAGCCAAGGAAGCAATACAACTGGAGAAATGCTGGCATTTTCCCAGTTGTATCACCACAGAGTAGGCCTGATAATGGGCTCTAAGCTGTGCTTGGTCATAGTCGCAGCGATATTTCCTCCATCTGTGCTCAAGCTGTTTTCCCAACCGCTTCATAGCCAGAAGCTCCTCTGTGTACCATGGAGCCATATCAGCTCTGGACGACACGCCGAGGAAGCAATACAACTGGAGAAATGCTAACGTTTCTCCAGTTGTATCACCACAGAGTAGGCCCAATAATGGGCTCTAACCTTTGTTTGGTCATAGTCACAGTGATATTTCCTCCATCTGCACTCAAGCTGTCTCCCCAACCGCTTCATAGCCAGAAGCACCTCTGTGTACCATGGAGCCATATGGGCTCTGCGAGCAGGGAGAGGGTGCCTAGCTGCGATCGTGTCAACCAAACAGGCCATCTCCTTGTACCACAAAGCAACCTGGGCTTCGACAGGAGTGCCGACCATATCAGCTGGAAACTCCCCTAGAGCATTCAGGAATCCTTCAGGATCCATAAGTCTCCGGGAGTGGATTTATCATTTATATCATTAAAAGTGATTTCTAAAAATTTATTAGAAGTTCTGGACATGCTTAACTAACTTCTTCTTAGTACCTTTCTCCTAATTCTTCATTCGTTTTCTTTCATGTTTAGGGAAACTGAAGAAAGTTCTTTCAGTAAGTTATGCCATTGTTTCAGTGTTTCTCCACTATGTCCTGCTTTTTGTAGCTCTGATTATATTCCTTCCTTGTACAAATAACTTGTATCTCTTGAAGAAAATAACATTTGCCTAATACAGTACCTGTAGATACAAAAAAGTACAGTTCTGGTTTTACTGAACTTCCAAACGTATTAGTGGAGAGCTACCTGTTTAAGACACTTGTTTCTCCATCCTGCTTTTTGTAGCTCTGATTATAGACCTTCCTTGCACAAATAACTTGTAGAAAATAACATTTGCCTAATACCTGTAGATACAAAAAAGTACAGTTTTGGTTTTACTGAACTTCCAAACATATTAGTGGAGAGCTACCTGTTTAAGACACTTGTCAAGTGTCAAGGTCACCTCTACCATTAGGCAGGGTACAAGGAACAGTGAACTGTGCCCATCCACCCATCCACCGAGAGCCCATAACTGCTGCAACTCCTTTAATGGTGGCTTCATGATTCACTTTGCCATCTTCTATCGACTCAGGGCACCTGAGCAGTGATGATGAGGAGGAGGAATTGGCATGGATTGGAGGCAAAGTGGGGGTGACCCATGCAGGGCAGGTGGTGGCAGTGCTTATTTCACCTCAAGCAGTGGAAGGACCTGGACGAGTGCTATATAACATGTGACAGGAAGGTTACTTGGATCTGAAGCTGGGCCTGAATGCTAATGGCTTTCCTAAAGGTACAAGCCACCTATTGTCTTACCAAACTGGCTAGATTTTAGATACCTTCTACTAAAATCAGGTGTTAAAACTAGGATTAGAAGAAGATAAACTGAAATCAGGTGTTAAAACTAGGATTAGAAGAACATTGTCCCTTTGGCATTTGTTAAGACTGCATTAATAAGAATAATCATTAATCATTGATAGAAAGTATGTTGAACTGATTATTTTAATCAAGTAATCGTTGGGTAAATATTGCAAGAACTGTTGCTGTTATATTGATATTTATTTATGTATACAGAAAAGTACCATCATTAGACCTCGACTAAATAACCACAGAAGACAGTCATCATTAATCGTTGATAGAGAGTATGTTGAACTGATTATTTCAATCAAGTAATCGTTGGTAAATATTGCAAGAACTGTTGTTGTTATATTGATATTTATGTATACAGAAAAGTACCATCATTAGACCTCGACTAAATAACCACAGAAGACAGTTCTTTGTCCTAAACTGCTTACACCCTAAATTTCTACTGAAAAGAATGCTTAAAGAAGGCTAGCTAGGTGAAGGTGGCCAACAACAAGGGGAGTGAAAGGATGCACAGAAGTCCCTTTAAAAAAGCCTAGTTGTTATCGGGTTGCAGTCTGAGCCATTGTGACATGTGCATCAAGATCTTCTGCAAGAACACCCTCCATAAGCATTGATCATGTTTCAAGAGTATGAGATGTATTGGAAAATAATCCCAGCAAACATTTACCACTTTTTTATAGATGCTGAAATCTTTGATGAATTATTGAAACGTGCTCCAGAGAAACTAGATGCTGTAAAAGAGGTAACTTTTTTTTATTTAAAAAAGCATTATAATTGGGTCTGAACTAATAAGAAATGATTCTGTGCTTTTTTGTTTTCTCAGGTACTTTTGAAGTTCGTTAACAAGCATGTTGGAAAATTAGGACTAAGTGTGAACGATGTTGGTTCTCAGGTAATAACCTATTACAGTGGTGCCTCACTTGACGTGACGATGTTTTATTTTAAAAAGCATTATAATTGGGTCTGGACTAATAAGAAACACAATGATTCTGTGCTTTTTTTGTTTTCTCAGGTACTTTTGAAGTTCGTTAACAAGCATGTTGGAAAATTAGGACTAAGTGTGAACGATGTTGGTTCTCAGGTAATAACCTATTACAGTGGTGCCTCACTTGACGACGTTAAATCGTTCCAACGAAATTGCTGTAGAGCGAAATTGTCATCAAACAAAATAAAAGACCCTATTAAAAATGCATTAAAAACTGGTTAATGCATTCCAATGGGCATTCTCAGGTAATAACCTATTATTGACAATTTCTATGCCGTGTTTAATTGTGGTTTATATTATTAATCTCAACAAAAAGTTCTTACAGGAAATATCACTGTAAACTAACTCCCTCAGCGAAAAATCAGTCCTAAAAACAGGAAATATCACTGTAAACTAACTCCCTTTTTAGAGTTAGTTTGGGACAGTGACTTGAGTAATGCCATACAGGGAGTCTGGGTTAGTTTGAAACACAGCATTACTTTGCAGTAAAGTCTTCAGTGTAGTAAATGTCATATTGCAGCATACAAGGCAGTTCTCTGCAGCTGTGCCCAAACACAGGGTGCTCTGTATCTACTCTTTATATCTATACTACAAAGAGTGTGAGCTCAGTGGTACATTCTTATGTTACACTTGCTTTTAAAATGGCATGGGCAACCCTCTCAAGAATCACAGTCCTCACAGAAATAAAGCAGCAAATGAACTGGTTTTCTCAGAACAGAGCAGCAGAAACAGACAGATCTTGAAAAAACAGATTTTTTTTTAAAAAAGTTTCTACCAGGAGGATTCTGATGTTGCCTGGGCCTTGGGATCACGGCCCCCAGAGGGCACAGGGAGGTGAGAAACGCCCGTGCCAAGGCACACAGCAGTGTTGTTTCCTCCTCCTCTGTCCTTAGAGGGTGGGTGGATCAGAGCCCTGGCGGCAATGAACATGAGGCACTCAGTGGCCAGGGAGTCCAGGCTGGATACGCTGCCTGGAGGTTGTGGGGGCAGCCGAGATCCACACCTCCCCGTAGGGCTGTGTGTCCCTGAGGGCATGCCTGTCCTCGACGGGTGGATGGAGAGGCCACGGGGACACACGTGGATCTCCCAGCGGGGCTTGGGATTGGGTTTATTCATCTGCCTCCTGGCTCACCACCCTGCCCAGCTGGCCCTGGTGCAGTGTGGAGGAGGGAGAGGAAGGTGAGGCAACACTGCTGCCGTCACCGCCCCCTTTCTCCACCCAGCCCGGGTGAACCTCTTGTCCTCCCAGCTGGCTAGGCCCCACCTCTCCAAGGCACGTCGTGAGGACAGGGAAAGGGAGGAGAGCCGGGAGCGCGCTGACAGGAGGCGGAGCTTTGCTCGTGGCTCACCTCTTGCTCGCTGCTCATCTGTCCCAGTGGCCTGGTCCTTCCAAGGCCACGGACCGGGTTGGGGACCAGTAGTATCTTGAACAGTAGCAGGGGGGCCCAGACTCTGCAACGCTGTGAGGGCCACATGAAATAGCCCAGTGGGCTGGATTTGGCTCGGGGGCCTTGAGTTTGACACACATATTCTAGAAGTTGTAGTCCAAAAAGTACATTTGACAAGCTCTGGGAGGTACACAATATTCAAAATAACCAAGACAGTGTATGTAAATACATGTTCATAATCGTTATTGTTTCTCCCAGTTTGCAGATGGAGTGATTTTACTCTTGCTAATTGGGCAGCTCCAGGGCTACTTCCTGAATTTGGGAGATTTCTTTCTGAACCCAAGTTCTGTTTCAGAAATGGTATGTTATTTTTTTGGGTTCTCATTTGCTGCTTTAACACTTTGTTTTGGCTCATAACTAGCAATAAGGGATGTACAAAGAATTCTATACAGTGGTGCCTGGATTTATGAACTTAATTAGTTCCAGAAGATGGGCGTAAGTCAAAATGGTTGTAAGTCGAAGCACCATTTCCCATTGAAATGCATTGAAATGCAATTAATCCATTCCGGCTGAAGGAAAAAACTCACCCACAAAAAATCATTGCAAGACTCAGTGGAAATGTAATTAATCCCTTCCAGCTGAGGGGGAGGGGAAGAAAAGCAATCAAGCATGCAAGACCCATCGGAAAGGCACAGAAAACAAATGGAGCAGATCGGAAATGCACAGAGAACAAAGGGACCAGGTCAGAAATGCACAGAGAACAAAGGGGGCAGTTCAGAAATGCACAGAAAATAAAGGGACCAGGTTGGAAATGCATAGAAAACAAACGGAGCAGATCGGAAATACACAGGGAACAAAGGGGCCAGGTCGGAAATGGACAGAGAACAAAGGAACCAGGTCGGAAATGCACAGAGAACAAAGGGGCAGTTCGGAAATGCAAAGAGAACAAAGGAAAAAGCAACGGAAGCATGCAAGACCCAGCGTAAATGGGGGGAAACCCCCCAAAGCAGCCAAATCCCCCAAGACCCATCAGAAATGGGGGAAAAACACCAAAAAACAAACAACCCCCCAAGACCCATCGGAAATGGGAAAAAACAATCCTAAAAGCAACCAAATCCCCCAAGACCCATCAGAAATGGGGGAAAAACACCAAAAAACAAACAACCCCCCAAGACCCATCGGAAATGGGAAAAAACAATCCTAAAAGCAACCAAATCCCCCAAGACCCATCAGAAATTGGGGGGACCAAAAACAAACAACCCCCCAAGACCCATCAGAAATGGGGAAAAAAACAAACCCCCCAAGACCCATCACAGCACAGAAACATAACCCCCCCAGCCCAAAACAACCCTGCAAAAACACCCTGAACAGTTTTTAAAAAGCAGAAAACAGCTGCTTACCTTAACAGGCAGCCTTCTCCAGTCCCACACTCTCTAACTGCTGGGGTGAAAAAGCTACAAAGAAGCAGCCTCGTTGCCACCTGCAGTTAGAAATTTGAATTTCCCACCTTTCCCCCCTACCTTTTTCTGTTTGTAACTGGAAGCTCCGGCTGCAGGTCGAAGCAAAATTTTGCAGCCGAAGCTGGTCGTAACTCAAAATAGTCGTAAGTAGGGACGTTCATAGGTCGAGGCACCACTGTACTACTTCCCAGGCTCTAATCTCTTTTGGTGCCCTACGCAAAATACAAGTACCAGCGTTAAGGTTATCTCCAGGTACTAGCTGAAACCACAAGAAACATCTATATTTTCTCAAGTCTCCTGGCTTGAGAGACAAATCTCAGTGAGAGAAGGTCTGATGGAGAAGAAAGTCAAATTCTATTATGTATGGCAGCTTTAATATCTGAGCACCCATCTCTGCCCAGCTCCCAGGGCTCAGCATGAAAGTGGTTATATGTAAATTGTTGCCATAATACTTGTTTGGGAGTTGGTGCAGAAAACATACATTTTATGTCTCACATTTTCTTGCAGATGTTCACACTCTCACATATTATTTGCAATTGTTGGACAAAGGCACGATTCCTGTGACACTACAAGGACCTGTACTGGTGTCTTTGTTTTTGGTCCTGAAATTGCAGGGAATAGGAAACTGCTTGCATGACCACTTGGTGGGATCTGCAACTGGAAATGTCTGGAGAGTCATGGGTTCTGTACAGTGGGGTCTCTACTTAAGAACGTCCCTACTTAAGATCACTTCCACTTAAGAACAGCTCCATTTGCTAAATTTTGCTTCTACTTGAGAACAAAAATCCAGATAAGAACAGGAAAAAAAAACTTTTCTGCTCTTTTTTTAACCTTAGGTCATCTTAGGTTAAAAAAAAGTTCTCCCCCTAGTGGTAGAGTACGTATTAATCAGCTTTGCATTAGTTCCTATGGGAACTAATGCTCCAATGTACGAACGCACCTCTACATAAAAAAAACAGCCAGAACGGAGTAATTGGTTTTCAGTCCATTGCTTCAAAATTAGCTTCGTCAGAAGTGCTTTTAACACTGTTCCCTGACCTAAGGGGAAAAAAAGAAAAAATCCCCCTCTAGTGGTAGAAGGCGGAATAGCAGCTTCCCATTAGTTTCTATGGACGGAAAAGAGCAGATACGGATTAAATGGTTTTCAATGCATTCCTATGGGAAATGCAGATTTGACCTGAGAACTTTTTGACTTGAGAACCGCCTTCCAATACGGATTAAGTTCTTAAGTAGAGACCCCACTGTATTCCAAACCAAACACAAAGGGGCTTATTCTGAAGCAAGTATTAATGGGGCTATTTTGTTACTTTTCTGCCCTGCTCATAATGACTGAATACTGAAGTGTAAAAGCTAAGGGAAAATGACACTGTTTTGACGTGGCTAGTATGGCTTCTCCTTCCTTCTCTGTTGTTTCCTTGGCTGTCCTCACTCAAGGCAACACAATGCAACAAATGTTTTTCCAATAAGCCTCTTTTTGATTCTTTTCTGGTGGTCCAACCTACCTCCTGGCCTTGAAGTGAGCTTATGGGAAATGCCAGAAAATAGGTTTTTTTTTTTTTTTGTAAACTAGAATCTCAGACTGGCAGAAAGATGAAGGAATTCAGTACAGTCTTTTGTTGTTACTGATGATCAGAGGCAGCTAGAGTAGAGTTGGCTGAGGCAATGTAAGACTGGAGTAGAGATGAAGGAGGCCTCCCTCTGATGAGGTCTCTCCTGCAAGGGTGGTGTGGCAACCCTCAATTTCCACCCAGAGGTTGTGCTGATAGACATTTCTGTATTTGGCAGGAGATGCAGTGTTGGCTCATAACTAGCAATAAGGAATGTACAAAGAATTCTGTACTACTTCCCAGGCTCTAATCTCTCCTGCCATATGCAAAATGTATGCTTTTTCCCCTGGAGCAGTAATGTGCAGTGATATATTCCTCACCAATGTCCATTATTTGATTGATGCTTTATCTTTTTTTATCCGCGAGCTTATATTTTTTCCATAACTTAGGATCACCTTTTATTTGGTTGATTACTCTTAGGTGCACAATGTTAACCTTGCAGTAGAGTTGCTGATAGATGACGGCCTTCTAGATACTCCCATCAATCCTGAAGGTCAGTTATTGTAGGAAAATGGTAATTTTGCAAAATGTAACCAACATTTTGTTCATTTTGGGAGTGGGCCATTGTAGGTCAATGCAAAACAGCAGAAACAAAAAGTCTAATGTGTTTAAAATTACAAAAAAAATTGATGTAGAAGTGGTGATACCTTTATTTCGCTAAAAATCAAACATTCAATGCAAGTTTTTGTGAATAAAATTCACTTCCTCAGGCATAGGGCAGAAAAATTATGAATGAAAGTACCAAATGGTCATGGCAGAGATAATGGTATCACCACTTCTACGTGTGGACTGTATTTCTGCTATTTATTTTTATTTGGCTCCAAATATCCTCATATATATAGAAGTATAGAGACCTTTATGAGTTGAGTTTGAAGGGTCTGAAGAAGACTCAGTTATATCCAGCATAGCTTATAGAACTCCCATAACTGGAAATACTGATTGAGGAAGTATTTCCAATCATAGGATCTCCCTAAGCACCTTCACTCAAATATGCTTATTTATAGGGTGATCACCTGAAAAACAGGAGAGGGATCCTGTATCTTTAAGAGTTGTGTGAAAGAGGAAATTTCAGGAGTTGAGACTTAAACTACAAGGTACAAATCTCCACTCTTCTTTTTCATCTGGTTACCCTGTGCTGACAAAGTCTTATCCCATCTTTCACACTAAATGTACTTTCAGGTGGTGTGGATACTTTGGGAGTTGGGGGCTATATATGCACCCCATTCACCATCATGAATTTAAACATGAGCATTTGAATATTTGCATAGAGCTTTATTTGACAAAACACCTCAGGATGCATTATAGGCATTACAGGAATTTTATAGTGGCTTTTAAAAAAAATTTTTATTTGCCAACCTGTACATCAAATGAGAGATTAATTCTCCAAAAAAAACCACAACTGTCTCAAATTCAATCATTAGCACAATAGGGAAAACCAAAGCCTAACTGCAAAAATGCAAAATTTATTTGCATTTTACTCAAATTGCTGTCAGCAGAATAACTCCCGTGTTGTATAAATCCATGTATGCATTCACCTGGTGATTTCTGGAAGCTCATAATCCCATGGCACCTTGTTGACTGTTGCCTCTTATCCTGAGCGTTAAGGTCTGAAATAGCTGGTTTGGCTCCCAGTATCCACTCTGAGGAATGAAATTTACATCTGCCATTTTTCTTCAGTGGTGTATAATTTATCTATTCTAATTTCAACTTCTTTGTGTCTTCACAGATGTGGTGAACCGAGATTTGAATGCCACATTGCTCATCTTATACTGCCTGTTCTCCAGGCACAAGACCAAAGGGACATGAAAAGCAAAATTAAAAAGTCCTGTCAGACTTATTTTTGCTAGTTAATAGTCTGCTTTTCAGCATCAATTATGTTTGGGAAGTTTGCATCGGTAGGCACCAGTTATAGGTACATGCATGTGTAAACCTGGATATGGATGTGGTTCAGTTTATATGTTTCACTGGCTGAAAATCTGTCCTGCAGTTATGTAAACTGTATAACCTGAGTGAATGAATTGCCATAAGTTAAGAAATCATAAACATTATCTGTTGCATACTGGAGGGCACGACTTGGCATGCAGCAGATCATGCCTATGGAGATTTCTTAACTTGTGCTCGCTTCGCCAGCCCATAAACTAAAACTGGAATGATACAAAGATTTCTTAACTTGTGGCAATTCATATCTAAAAATCATGCCATTGTGTAAACTGTGTAAGAGGATTAAGGACGTTGTCAGAAATAGAAACTAGGTAAATGCTGGCACCAATAAATAATTTCTGTGCCTGTAAGAGAATTGTTGAATATTATATGTGATATTCTGGCATTTTATGTGGCCATATCCCCATAACTATACGTAATTAAAATTTACAGGTCAACATCCTGTTGCTTAGCATAGTAAATCACACTGCAGGAGGCCTATTGAATTAATGGGGTTTTGGTGAGTCAACTCCTCCATAAGTTCTATTGATTCAAATGGGCCTACTTTAGCTGCAGCTTACTACCTTAATGCGATTACTATGAGATTTACTGTACTAAACAACAGGATTTTGGCCACAGTCATGCCATAAAAGGAATGAAGTTATTCCTTATAATGTTATAATTGTAAGGTAATATCTTATAGTTATATTTTCTTTATTGGAAAAGGATTAATTACAACTGCTTATTTGTAACTAGTTACCTCAGATCTGAGAAGGACTAACTTTTGCAGTAAATGCATTGCTATTAAAGAAAAAAATGCAACAAATATAGGATAAGAATATTGTGATAATCTCCCTTTCTGAATATTTTGGATGGTCTACTAAGGTATTCTATGTCAGTGCCTTGATACGATTTGAGAATACAGTATTTGTATGATGGACTAAGTTAGAAAAGTATTTTAAAAGGGGGGGAAAGGTTTTGTTTTAAAACTAGCCCGACTTCCTTTATTCTGTGCGTTTGACCTTTAATCAGATTCACTGCCTGAGTATTAATGGAAAATTTAAGAATTCACAGGCTTTTTGATTGCTGACATTTAGAGCTGAGGATTTGTTATGGCTAGAGCTTGATCAGATCATTGAGAAGAACTGCTTAAATGGCAGGATTGATTATGAAGCCTTTTAGTTCTGTCTTCCAAAAACTCTAACCGTTTTAAAATGCAGTAAAATATTCAACATAATACTGTTATTTTGCTTTATTACCGAACATCTTGACTTTTTGGGTTTGGAAATGAAAACAGCCTTTTCAGGACACAAATTCCAACCCACCTCTGGGAAAAAAAATACCTAGATTGCCTGAATGTTCACTTTCAAAAAATTTGGTACCTCTGCTTTTGTCTGGTCTTTTCTTCTTCTTTTCCCTGGACACAGAAAAGAGGCCTTCTTCAGTGTTGGTGTCCCATTTAAGAAACAATATCTCCAGAGAGGCTCAGTTGTCATACTTGCATTGTGTGTTTTTTTCCAGTGGCAGATGAAGACTTGATAAATTGGTAAATCTCACATGTTGGTAATTTTGGTTAAGTTTCATCATATTCAAAAATCCACCCATAGCCTGAAGTTAGTACAGGGAAAGCATTATCATGTATTTATTTTGTATTGATTTTAAAACCTATATCCTGCATATGGTCCTGAGCGGAGACTCGAACCAACAGTTGTTGCCAAGAACAAGAGGATCTGAAGTAGTGATCATCAGAACATTTGCGGAGAAACATATAGAACAGTTGATTTTGAAGGTCCCAAGCTGTTTAGAGCTTGAATATTTAACATAATACCTTGACCTGAGCCAATGCTACTAATCTTAAAAAACACATATATGATCAAAATACCCATACTTGACTGTCTTATTTTGTAGCTATTGTATTTTCCAGTGTTTTCTAGCCCCCTGTATAGTTGGTATAATAAGGTAAGGCCGCAGTCACATGAGCCAAATGTTGTCTTCCTATCCTCCATTGAGTTTGTACCATGAATGTGTAGTCACATGACATACAGCAATTAGTGAATCATCTATCTGGTGAGCATGCTTACTGCAGATCATTTCTTGCTCAACCAGAGCCTTTTTTTTGTTGTGGATCTTTTCAAAAAAACTTGCATTGCTGTGTGTGTGAATTGTCTTACCGCAACTTTTTTGAACTACTCTCACCGTGCATGTCCTTTTAAACTGTTTTTAATTTTTACATTTTTTCTGTGGCATGTGTATTGATGTGTCAATTAATTCCTATCAAACTGTGTCAACAGGAAGGTCTATGAGTTGGTAATCCAAAAACACATTGGGATGCACATCCTGGAATAACTACCATGTGGTTGCAAAAGACAACAGGAACACAATTAAAATTTGTGTAACCACTGGGGAACATTTCGCTGGTGTGACTGTGGCCTAAGAGATAACCAGGACATGAATGGCTTGGTCAGTATCCAGCTTTGTCAGAAAGGTTGTGGATATTGAGCCAAATGGAGCTGGATAAAGACATTTCTTGCCACTGAACCTACCGATACAGTTAGTAAGAGTGCCAGGTCAAAGTACATTTCTAAATCATAGATATAACTTTTCAGAGTGGGTGTAACAAAGACCCAAACAGTCTGTTTAGTGAGGATTATATTTCAGGTTCTCTGGCTCCTCATGGATACCAATGATCCAATATTTCTGTGACTTCTCTGAAGAAGCGGATTTTGATCTGTGAAAAGTCACAAAGAAATACATCTGTTACTCTCCAAAGTGCTCCAGTATTTGGCCTTTAAAAAAACTTTTCCCCCTTAATTTTACCAGCATCCTTGATCTAAGATCACGTGAAATGAGAAATGAGCTGAGTATCATATGCATATAGTGACTAAGCCAAATTAATGACCTCACTGTGTAGTTTCATGTAGATGTTGGACAGCATGGAGGACAAGACAGAGCCATGTAGAACCCCCATAGGCCACTGTCCATCAGCAAGACAGGGGGCTCCTAGAACTGTATGGTGAACCCTATCAGTCAGGAATGAGTAGAAGCACTGTAAGCCAGTACTTTCAATCCCCAACCCCTCAAGAAAATGCAAAAACACACCAGTGAATGCCACTGAGAGGTCCAGGAGACTCAGCAAGGTCATTCCAGCACAAGTCATCCACAGGATCAAGCAAGGCAGATTCTTAGATAGAAAACAGATTGGATAGGGTCTAGATGATCGGCCTTACTCAGGAACCCCTGAAGCAGTAACACAACCACTCAGCAATGTACTTTTGTCCAGTGTATTTGAAACTAGCTGATAGTTATTGAGGTATAAAGAAATGTGATTCTACTGATAGTGCTAGAGTTGTCAGAGCAGTTCATTGTATGTATGTATTATTTATTTATTAGTTTTATTTATATGGCACATTTCTCCCAACAAGGGGCCCAAAGTGGCTCACAACCTTAAAATTCACACAATTTAAAAACACAAGTTAAATATTAAAAGATAAATTAAACAATGTATGATTTAAAATACAATTAAAAAATTAAAACATGAAAACATAAAAAAGATTAACATTTCTGCTGAACTGGGGTTCAGGGATTCAGTTATAATTGTTAAAAGCCTGCCTGTAGAGATGGGTCTTTAGTTTCTTTCAGTAGGATAAAAGGGATGGGGCCAACCTCATCTCCTGAGGGAGAGCGTTTCATAGCCTGGGAGCTGCCACAGTGTCCCCATCAGCTGTGCTTGCGCTGGCAATGGGACTGAGAGGAGGGCCTCCTCTGCTGATCTTAATCGCCAAGAAGGCACATATAGGGAGATACGGTCCTTCAGGTAGCCTGGACCCAAGCTGTATAGGGCTTTATAGGTAATGACCAGCACCTTGAATTAGGCTCAGAAATGGACTGGTAGACAGTGCACTTCTTGTAACATGTGTGTTACATGCTCCCTGTAGCTTGCCTCAGTCAGTAGTCTGGCTGCAGAGTTTTGCACCAGCTGAAGTTTCCAAACGGCCTTGAAAGGCAGCCCCACATAGAGCATGTTACAGTAATCCAAATGGGATGTAACTAAGGCATGTGTCACTGTAGCCAGATCTGACATCTCAAGACCTGCATTTTTCTGTGCTAATATATGAGAATTAAGGATTGTTCACTCTATTGCTAACTTGGGCACCAAAACAAACAAACAAACAAACAAAAAACCACTTCATGGCTGAAAAGGAACTACTGCCTGGCAAGTTGCAAGCAACAGTGTGAACTGAAGAATGTGATAGAAGGGAGGTTCCTTGTTGACCTTACATTTTTGTTTCATTTAGGGGCGGTTTGTTCTGCAAAATGAGAACTCTGCTTGTGTCTCCTCCTCCATCCCCCTGCAAGATCATTTCTAACAGCCACAGTTCTTCTTTTCAGTTTGTCTCAAGTAGAAAGGGCTTAGCTATTGTTGCTAGACAGCAGGGTTGTGGACAAAAGAGAACAGGAAAAGGACAGAACTTTACACTTGATTAAGTATGAAGACTAGTAGCTACATCTTGGGTCACTCCTACCTGAGCACAGATGGGATCGCTTACTGAGAGGGTTTGATGGTTGTAGGACTCCTATGTTCTTTCTTGTGGTAAAATGTCTTCTTGTAGGTGTCTTGGGGCAGGTTCAAGGTAGACTCAGTGCGATTCTGATAGAACTTTGTGGTACGGCAACCATATTTGCAAAAAAGATCCATGTTTACATCAAAAAGACAATCGCACAATAAAGCACACTAATTTTCAAACTACAGGAGGCACAAAAAAACTCCTGCTGTCAGTACTTGAGGAATGCTTACTTTATAAGAAGAAACCATGGCAAAACTCCACGACACATCCAAATGCATCAGTTTGCCTACTTTTGCCTCCGTTACCGATCAATTATTCTGATGAGATTGCACGGTTTGTGTTTCATTTTGACAAATCTGTTGAACCCTACTGTCTCTTTTACTTCACCAAAAGTAAAATTAATAAGTGAATAAACCAGAAGAACCACACACTAGGAGTTTAGACTGTCCCTAACTGGTATATTGCATTTTCAAGAGAACAGATGGTACAACAGGTTTTACTTGAGTGCAGCTGGGAAAAGAACAGATTTCCTTGGCAAGACTGCTCCCTAAATCTTGCACACATAAGAATTATTTTATATACAGTACTTGAGCAAAGGCAAAGTGTTTGAAAAATTAAAATAGAAAGCAGTGACTATACTGATAACTCTTAAAGAAAATGTCAGCAATTGAGTTGAACTATATAAGAGTTTCCTCTATCAGAAGGAAATGTGAAGAGGAAAGGGGCATTTTAATATGTTTAATTTCTTCCATTGTGCCTAACAAAAATATGGAATAGTAATGTTTTACCCTGAGGAAGTTTTACAGATGGTAAAATTTGCTTTGTTCTCAGACTTCATAAGAGGGACTTGGTATTTTTCAATAGGCATTGAAAAAGAGGCTTTTCAGCTGCTATAAACATTCAACAATAGCACATTTGATATTTTTGTGATGAATCGACATGCCTAGGTGCAATTACGTCTTTGCCAATATCAGCGCTTGCTCTTATTCAAGTACACTTATGAATAATGCTAAAGTTAAAACAGGGTTTGCCTAGCTGATTTTGCAGGACCATAAGGAGCCTCATTTTAAAATGCATGAGTTTGGAATTAAACTCCCCACACCATCTCAGCTTGAAGTTACTTGTAAGAAGCAGGAACCAACAATACCATGATAGCAGCTTGAGTAGGACTCTGCTGGCCAATCAGCAACAAGTAAGGGTACAGTGACAGCTGTGAAATGGCAACAGCTGCTTACTGTTACTCTGCTAACTCCCTCTTTGGCTGGCTTTGCTGTTCTTTCTTTACTTTAAGAGTCATTAATGTAGGACTGGGCGGGCAGCTTCCATGTATTCTAGGGGACAATTTTACTCAGAACGTGCTGGGGCTGCTCCCAATTTACCACCATGCTGTTTGGTTCACTAAACTTTGGCAGGAAACATGGCAGAGCCAAGAACAGTCACCTCCCGACATTTCCCTTTCAAAACAAGGCGCATGGGAAATATGCACCTTCTTTTCAACATAGAATCACATTTCCTTCAGGCTTGTGGAAATGCAATTGCATTATACAGAAAAATACAATATCGTTTTATTAAAGGCCAAGGCATGTACCGTATTTTTCTGTTCTAGCTGAAATTGCAGTAACAATGTGAGCAATGTGAAGCAAAATTTGGCACTGCAGGACATCTGTGTCTA